TGTACTGGCCCGGAAAGCACACAGCTCCAGCCTTCCAGGAGTTACCTGGAGGGTCCCCATTACCTCCCGGAGCAGAGGCCATGGTAATTCATCGGCAGCCTTGCCGGGGGAGGGTGACCAATGTGGACATGTGTACTAGGCCCAGGCCAGTACATGGGCTGAAATAGCTCATGTCCCCGTGACCTTGGACCCCGGATGTGCCCAGTTCTCCCCGCCCTGTACCTCTGGAGGAAGACAGCACCACTGCTTCAGGCTGTGGGATGTCTGGGTTTTGCTGTGTGATCCCATGCTGGGCTGACTACTCACCTCTGAGGCCAGGGTCTCCCAGCTCCCCTGTGGGACCACGATATCCAGGGGGCCCTCGAATACCAGGGTGGCCGACAGAGCCTGGGGGGCCAGGGGGCCCTGGGGGACCAGCTGGACCAGGCCGACCGATGGAGCCCGGTGCCAAAGGCTTCCTTAGGTGTGCAGCTAACTGTGCAATTTGCTCTTTTGGAAAACAAGAGTACAAGCATTTACATCAGAGAATTATGAAAAAAAATTTTTTTGTGTGTGGTATGGGGGATCGAACTCAGGCCCTTGTGCTCAAAAGGCAGGCAGCAGGACCACTAAGCCAAATCCCCAGCCCAGATTATGAAAATATTTTAATGCATGACACAGATCTATACTGCCTTTCCGAAGGAAGTTTCCATTTATCTCCTGAAAGTGACTTTTACTATGTTGGGGTGTCACCAGGCTAGACAGGAGACACTCCCTTGTCTTGGAATGTTCCTAATTCTGGGACCCAGAGGACCTGAGACATCCACTTGGGGGCGCTGGGGAACTGTCCCTCCAAGCCCTAAGGTGCAGTGACTTGTTCCCTGTAAACCTGCTTTTAGCAGAGGTTCAGGGCATCTGCCATGTGCCAGGCATGGTGAAGCCCCTCTAAGCTGCTCACTGTGGCACAGGATGGACCCAGTGCACCACAAGGCGGGCAGAGGGGCGTAGCAAGGAGCAGAAGGTGGTCTGCGGCCCGGGCACCAAGAGCCCAGGTGGGGAAGGGCAGCAGCCACTCACCGTTGATCATGTCCCCACACAGCTCCCTGATGCGCTGCTCACTGGCTTCTTTCCCCTGAAATTCACCCGGCAATCTGTCAGCAGACAGGCAGCATGCTAGCAGCCTCGCTAAGACGTGCCCAGTACTCCGCTCCTAAAGCAACTTAGAGAAAACTCTACTCCAAGACAAGCCCGATGCCCAGGCACTGACTGACGAGAAGGGCCACGCACCGGAACTCCAGGTTTCCCAGTAATCCCGGGGACGCCTTGCACCCCCTGGAGGCCCATGGGCCCGGGGGGTCCAGGGACGCCCTGGACACCACTGGTGCCGTTGGGTCCCTGGATGCCTTTGGGGCCCAGCTCCCCTCGACTTCCAGACTGCAGAGAAAAAGAACAAAGCAGGTCTGAGCCTCACTCGGGCAGGCCTCTGACCCTGCAGCTTTTGCTTTTATGACTGCAGACGTGTGTGGTGGCCGCAGGTCGGACTGGCCATGGAGGTGGATGGGAATCCCAACACTTACCTCTCCTTTGGGTCCGACAGAACCACTGGGACCCTGTGAGGAGGGAAGGTGTATGCTCTGGTCATCCATGTGCTGCCCCTAGTCGGGTGGGAAGTGGCTCCCAACAAACCCACTATTAGTTGAGGATGAAAATTTAAAAATCATCTTCAAGCCACATAGAAATATTGATAGGTTTATTTCTTTTTGTTCTATGGACACTTGATATTGCTGAGCATATTAACTTGATTGCCTTTTGAAGCTAATTTTCCCTTGAATGTCTTTGTAACTCCGTACTAGTTTCTCTTATACTAGTTTACTTTGTTTCCATTATTTTTATAAATAATGCTGAACTGGATGCCTCTGTCCTAAAGCGCTGGGCCCTGGTTCACCTGAGTCCTCAGGGATGACCAGACCCAGACAGATGGGGACACAGCAGGCAGGACAGGGCACACACAGGGGCTGACTGTCCCGGGCCACCCCTTGTCCATGGGCCAACTGCAACAGCCCGGGTTAGCAAGGGCAGGTGGAAGCCCTCACCCAGCCCCCATCAGTGTGGCCAAAAGCATGCAAGAGGTTTCCCAGCTGGCAGGGCTCTGTCCTTGGCCACTGTCCCCACCCCAGCAGTTGAATGGGACCAGGAAGCACTGCTTCTTGGATTTCCAGGGTCCCAGCCAAGGCTGTGTAAGAATTTGCCAAAATAAATTAAGCACAGGCAACTGAGAAGCATAAGTTCATTCCGGGCCATAGGATGCCCCAGAGACTAGGATCCCTTTCTGTTTTAACCGATACAAAGGAAAGAATTATAGACTTCAAGCCCCTGCCAGTGGAAAGCCAAAAGGTCTTTTTTTTCCCCTCTCAGATCTTAGGATTATTCCCTTTCTGTCACCCTCAGAAGGAGAAATGGGAGTCTGTGACCTGATACAGCCAAGCATTTTATTTTAACTCTGTCCGTCTCCGCTCTGTGAAAGTAGGGTTTGTTACAGTGAACTCTTCTGTGACTGACTCATCCAAGGACCTCAGATGAGTGACTCCACACAGCCACACGAGGTGTGTAGAACCCGCCTCCACATGCCAGTGACCAGACCCGAAGCTGCTTTCTAGCCAGGTCCCTGCCTCCTAAGGGACAGCCCAAGGCCAGGCCTCAACCTGAGGGACTGGGGTCCTGGCATGGCTGCCCACGGAGCCCTGCCTGTGCTTCCGCCAGGAGCCGCATCTGCTGGCCCTGTCCCAGGCCAGCTCCCTGCCCAGACTGACTGGCCAGCTCCTTAGGTCACGAGGCCCACTTACCAGCTCTCCTTTGTCCCCAGGAAGACCATCGGAACCTGCAATGCCCTGGAGACGACACGCACAGAGGTTAACAGCGGCTCCTTTCCATGAAGCTACCCAGCTACCAGGACTCAGACCTGAGACCGAGGCCGGAGTACAGGCCTGGCGCCTGCCTTTGAACAGGCTCCCAGGACAGCACAGGGATCCTGCCTCTGAGACCTCCGGGCCAGCAGGGAGCCCAAGGCTGAAGTCACCTGGAGGAAGGCCTGGCTGCCAAAGGGCTCAGAGGTGACACTGTAGGGACAGCCACAACCCGCCCACCCTTGAGCTTCTCCAGGGAGAGAAGCGCTGCAGAGAGAAGAAAATAGCTTTCTAAGCTGCTCCCACGGAGGGCCGCTTAGAGCCCAGGCCCTCACAAACCCGTCTCCCTGACCAGGCGCAGCGATGGGGCACCTAGGGCCGACCAGAGCCCACGGCCAGCTGTGTGCCCAAGAGAAGTAGCCGTCTCCATCCCACTTCTACTGCTGCTATGCCAAGTGCAGCAGGAGAAGAGAGGAGGAGGAAGGGAAACGAGGAGGAAGCCCTCAGAGTTGTGCACACAGACCAGAGCTGCACGGCCCGGCAGGCAGAACCCGCCAAGATGCACAGCTCCGTGGAGGTGCTGTGGACAGATCTGATCTAACCCGCCCACCAGCGTCCACTCACCTGGTCTCCCTTCGGGCCTGCAGCACCTCCTGGGCCCTGGGCAGAGAAAGGGCTCTGGGTTAGAGCAGGAGAGGAGGCGGGGCACTGCCTGGACCCATGTATGGTAAACCCCTCGGCCTTAAAGCAGAGGGCTCAGAAGCCCAGCCCAGTCCGGAGAGGCATCCCATGCTCACAGATGCTGGGCCCCTCTGGACACCGCTCTGTGCCCTGTGGACCCTTGAGTGTTGGGAGCTTTCCCTGCAGAATACTCCACACCCCATGCAGCTCCTGGAATCAGTCCTGGAGGACAAGTGGAGCCCTGCACATTGTGCATTGCTGGCAGTGCCTTTGAGCCCTGTGTGTATTATGGCACTTGCCATCCTGGGACAGTTTTATGCCAGTGTCACCTTAATCACCTTCCCTCTGAACTGTAAAATTAGGGACGCCTAGCTGGTCGAGTGCTTAGTGGTATAGCACTTGCCCAGTGTACGTAAGGCCTACAGGTGATTCTTCCCATGAAATCTGTCCGTGTGGGAGTGGCACAGCAGGTCCCACCCACTCCCGACCTGTCCCACACTGAGGCTTCTCCCAGCCTTCGCCCTGCTTTGCAGCTGCTGTGTATCTTCCCACCTCTGAAAAGTCCTGCCCGAGGCTAACAAAGGGCCACTGTCCCTCTGTGGGGCAGTAGTGTCTACCTCTCCCTGCATTTGTGGCCATGTCCCTACCCTTTGCCGGGCAGCACCCCACTATGTGAAGAGGGTTTTGTCACTGCCCAGCAGGGGCAGACAAGGAGACACATGGGCCCCCCAGGGCCCAACCAGACCCCCAGCCTTCTCTGGGGTGACCAAAGTGTCCCCAGGTGTCCCTGAGTAGGCCATGCCTCCTTCCCCGGGTCTTCCCAAGGTCTGATGTCACCAGCTGCTGCCAGACCAGCAGGACAGGGTCCTGGAGATGTGGTACTGGCATCCGGCTACTTCACAGCGGTAGACCTCTGCCAAACCAGGTCTCAGTGGATACACAGGCCCTGGAGCTGCCTTCTCTCCTCTCGCCCAGTTCTTGGGCCCTCATGGTGCATGGTTTGCCCAGCCAGGCCTCTATAGCCAAGAGGGACGAAGGCCAAAGGAACCGAGGGGTGCTGACTGTGAAGTTGGCACCACTGCCCTCACACCCAGGGGGCAGCAGCAGGGTCAGGTGAGACCACTGGCTATCAGGGTGTCTCCCCGTGGCCTGTGCCCATGGGACCAGGTTAGAGGCGGGAAGGGGTGCATGAGAGGGCGCTGCCTGCCAGGAGAGCCACTTACCCGGTCACCCACTTCACCACGGAGGCCTTGGGGACCCGGGAGGCCAGGTTCTCCTGTGCTGCCCTTTCGGCCCTATAGATAAGGTCCCAGTTGTTAGAGCCCACAGAGCCCCTCAGGACCCCTACCCACCCCTGCAGGACTCAATGCCCTGGCCCAAACCTCACCCACTGAACCCACCTGGAAGCCTCGGATGCCGGGGGCCCCAGGAGGACCTTGTGGGCCAAGGGCCCCCTGAAAGACACAGGTGTGGGGGCATGTCCTGGGCCCAAGAAGTCACCTGTGGGATGGGGACGAGGGCCCTGGGCCCAGCTCTGCCTCCCTGTCATCCCAGGCCACTTGGCCGAGGTGTTGGGGACAGAAGCAGGGCTGCCCCCTGGGAGACAGTTAAGGGGCGCTGGAGTGCAGACATGTGGACCCTATCAGTCAGGCCAGACTCGGTGCTGGCACCAATGCCCAACACTGCCCTGTGGCTGTCACCAGACAGGATTCCCTGTGCTTGCTGGGATCTCAGCTGCACTGTAGCATGAAGATCCAGAGGACAGGGCAGCTCAGGTCACCCCACAGCCTCCCTGAGGGCAAGGGACTAAGGAGGTGACACTCCCCTCCCAGAATTCCCAGCTTTTGTGCTGTAGGCTCATGAGGGCGCCCAAAGTACCACCTCAGCCTGTTCAGTGCCCACCCCACACTTACCACTGAGCCTCTATGGCCAGCCTCACCACGCTCCCCTGGCATGCCGACGTCTCCCTGCCAGGGGGAAGAAGGGGGTGAGGGCAGGGAGGAGTAGGGGCCTCAGGCATGTCCTGGGGAAGGCCAGGGATACTCACAGGGATGCCGGGCTCTCCAGAGGGGCCAGCCTCACCCAGCTCCCCGGCTTTGCCCTGGAAGAGGGGAGGCTGTGAGTCCTGCATCCTCTGCCCAGGCCCAGGGCACTGCCTGCCCACCCTGCCATCCCTGGAGGAAGCAGCCACATACCAGCTCTCCCTTCTCGCCTTTGGACCCCGTTCGTCCAGGGAGGCCCTGTCAGGACAGAGCTCAGGTCAGGGCTGCCGAGTCCATGGCAGTGTGCACACAGGCAGCTGAGGCCAGAGAGAGCACTCCCAAAGTGGGACAACTGCGCCAGCCTGCTGGCCCCAGGGTGGGCTTAGACAGCTTCCTGGGGTTCAGATGCAGAGCCCCTGCGAGTCCCCAGGCGGGGCTGATGGGAAGGCGGCCCACAGCACACAGGGCAGGCACAGGCACATTTGCACAACAGGCACACAGTGTAAGCCTAAAGGCCCAGTGGGCAGTTCCTGGACCTCCTGTAGGAGGAGCTGGCCAGCTCAGCCTGCCACGTATACTCACCGGCAGCCCATCAGGGCCCTTCTCTCCTGGGGCACCATTGCGAGCGGCCTCTCCCTGTGAGGAGTGAGTGGGCAGGAGTAGAATGGGTACGAGGCCTTGACAGCTGATCTCTCCCCAGCCCCTTCCCACAGGTTGCCAGCCAAGCACCAACCTTCTCGCCATCAAGTCCTGGCATGCCGTCCCGGCCATCCTTGCCTGGCATACCCTGGGGATAGGAACAGTAAAGGCCACGCCACCCTCCCCTTCCTCTGCAGTGCTGTTTCTCATTCCCCAGAATGTGGTCCCTGCGCCCGAGCTCCGCAGGGTTCCATGGCTTCATTGCTGAGGGGGTCACATGGAGCCTGTGTCACCCCCAGAGACCACCATGCAGGGCAGGGTGCAGGCAGGCATCATGGGCTGGCCAGGGCCCAGGACCTTCGGCACAACCCGCATCTGTGCCCACCGTCATACCCCAGCACCTTACTTCCCACGTGCCGCATAGGGCAGACAGTCCTGGCCCGGCCCCTGAGGCCCTCCTGCAGGGTGACGGGCTGTGGTGATGGAGGTTGGTGCCAGAGGGCAGGAGGGGCTGCTGGAGCAGTCCCACCTTTGCTTGGCGTGTGAAGAAGGGAGTTGCTGAGTGTGAGCAGGCACAGGCCCGTCAGATGACCCATCTGACTGCAAGTCACACACCCAGGAGGCCAGCCCAGGGATGGCTGGTGCCAGCAAAGAGAGGCAGGGACACAGGACAGGAGCACAGCAGCTCTCCTGCGCCCTGTGGCCACCACACGGTGCCTGAGGCCAGAGCTGGTACATCTGTGTCCCATTGAGTGCACTGAGGCAGGGAGGTACTCACCGGCTCCCCACCCGGTCCGGCCATGCCAGGGATTCCTTTGGGACCAGGTCTGCCCTAAAGACACGCAAGGGACAGATACAGCCACAGCTGGGGTCCTGAGAGAGCTCTACCAGAGCTGCCTCAACACTTCCTGCGGCTCTGGCCATACCAGGCTGTGCTTTGGGTGGGGCAGCTGCTGCGCCCAGCCCAGCGCCTGCGCGGACCAAGGCTGGGTGCTATTGGTGCAGCAGCTGGGCCTGGTGGCCTTCTGGTGCCACTGCTGTGGGGCTCAAATGGGGGAGAAGATGGGGTGGATCTGGCAGCTGCTGCAGCACATGTTTGGGGACAGTCCCTCCATTGCCAGAGATGCTTAACTGGAACCTCCCTGCGCATCCAGGAGAGAGCGGCTTCCTCCCTGGCCCTCACTGCACAACTGGGCAGCCCAAGCTGAGCTCATGAGATGCACTCTGCCTGGAGGCCAGGATGGGGCCAGACCCCACTTGTCTGGCAAGTGCCCCACCCACCCTAGGGGGATGAGATCGGGCTCTTCCCCAGAAGGACCAGAGAACCAATGTTTCTTACGTACAAGGTCACCCTTGGGGCCTCGGAAGCCCTCAGGGCCTCTCTCGCCTCTGTCACCCTGGAAAGGACAAAAAAGTGCAGGGACAGAGTTAGCAACATGTATGAGCAGGACCCAGGAGACCAAGGCCCTCCAGGTCTGATGAGGGAGGGTCGGTGGCTGGTTTGATGCTGCTGTGGGTCACAACCAGACCTGTACCCACAGGGACAGGCAGAGCCACCCACAAGGATGGACTCCTGTGAGCCTGCCCCTCAAGCATGCCACAGGTGCCCCCAAGTGTGCCATGAGCCTCCAGGTGTGCCAGGCCCCCATGTGCCCACAGTGCACAGCACAGCCTGGGGCAGGCCAGCCCTATCCAGTGTGCTGAGTGACACAGCAGAAAACAGGGACAGAGGACCTGGGCCCGCACTGGGCCACCCTCACCTAGACACACACGTACCGCTTCCCCAGGCGATCCTGGGGTGCCAGGTGGCCCTTGGAACCCAATGGGACCCTGCAGGAGAGAGAGAACATTTGGGGTCCTCTGGGAGGAACAAAGACCCAGAGGGAGGCTGTGGCTCAGCCATAGGCAGCAGCACGAGGGCAGGTTGGTGCTGGCTGCTGAGTCTCATTCCCCACAGATCCCACATAGGGTCTGCAGTGCAGGTCCCCAGGGGCCCCCATCCCCCCAGGAGGCCAGCAGACTTACGAGGTCCCCAGGGGGCCCAAGTGGCCCTGACAGTCCTCTTAACCCTCGAGGGCCCTGTAGAGAGAAAGCTGAAGATGTAGAAGCTGGCTGCACCCCAACCTGGGCAGCTGCTGGGCCCCGGGAACCTCGAAGTTCTGCTCTCCTCGAAGTTCTGCCTCAGCTCAGGCCCTGGGCTGGGCTCACCCAGGTGCCTCTCTCTCAGGTATTGGCTGACTGATCAGTCATCTCAGAGTGACCACTCACCCACCCATGGGGCTCCCCTCCTGCCACCTTGGCCCCACCTTGGCCTCACCTGCAGCCCCACAGTGCCTGGAATACCAGCAGGACCAGGCGGGCCGGGGTCACCCTGTGACAGAGAGGATGGTTGACACTTCAGCCTGGCTCTTCCATACCTCCTGCTGTCTGTGGGTCCCCAGCAGGCCCGAGCAGCATGTGCCTCTCCTCCTGGCCAGGGAGGGTCCCATGCTACCTACACAAGTGCTGGTCCCCCTCTAGCCACTCTGCCCGTCACAGACAGTGGCCTCCAAGGACAGTGAGCAGAGTGAGGGAAACAGGCGGTCAGGGACACCCCTGCCCCCACCGATACACCAGGGAGTTGCCACATGAGGGGCCCTGACCAGCCAGGCCCACTGGGAAACGTGCCGCAGGTGCCTTGCCAGGGCCAGCCCGTGAGGCCCAGTGCCCAGCACCCACTCCTCTCGGCTGCCCTTCCCGCGTCAGCAGCAGGGCCAGAGGTGCTTTACCTTCTCACCATCCTTGCCGACTTCTCCTTGTTCTCCTTTGTAGCCGGTGGGGCCCTGCAAAGAAGCAGCACAGCCTCCAGACCTCGGTGCCCTCCCTGGCAGCACTGAACGGAGGCCTTAGCCCGGTTCACTCAGGACCCGGCCACAGTGGCACTATGGTGCTCAGGACCACGGGCCAGGGCCGAGACTGGGAAATGGGCCCAAGAGACCCTGTGACTCACCGGAGGCCCCTCAGCCAAACAGGGTGGCAGGGCTGGGCTGGACCCATGGTTCCAGCTCCCCAACAGCCACTCTGGGGCCAGCCAGGTCACATCAGCCTCCAGCGCGTCGCTGGGATGGAGAGGGTTGGGGGACAGGCCGCTTTCTCCCTGTGACAACCCTGGGCCTCAAGTCCTAAAGCCACAGGGGACCCAGCTGCAAGGAAGCCCACGCCACCCCACAGCCACCACTCACCTTAAACCCTGGCATTCCAGGAGGCCCAGGGGGGCCTGGAGGGCAGACGGCAGGGCACTGTTGGGAAACAGTGGTTAGACCCTCCCAGCCCCTGTGGCTCCCTGAGCAGGTCCGCTGCATGTGGGCAGAGGAGGCTGTGGCCGAGCCCAGACGGGCCCACAGGATTCGGGGAACCGGGCTTGTCCAGATGCCCCTCCCTCACGGCTGATCCAATTTCTCAGCAAACCCTGGGTTTCAAAGCAGCTATTCACATGGCTGCTGGCTCACAAAGGGGCCTTCATCTTGTATGAGCACCTGGTTGCTAGGAGGAGGAAGCTGCTGAGCCCAAGCCGCAGCTGTAACGCTCGGGCTTGGAGGCCAGCTGTGAGCAGGCCAGGGCTTGGGTGCAGGCAGCCTGTTCATATTCCTCACTGCCTGGGCAGGCTGGCCAAGGCCTCGGCCCGCCCCATCCCGGCCACTCGAGGCGCCCACCGCCTGCCTCCTGGGACACAGCGGGCGTAACACCAGCAGTGAGAAGAGCCAGCCTAGGGCAGCTGGTTCCATCAAAGGGGTCAGCACTTTCTCTTTGAAACAGAGTGCTCTGGATACTGTGCTGCCTGAGGCTAAACAGCTGCACAGAGGAGAAACAGGTCTGTGTTTCTTACAGATGACAAGGCTCAAAGCCCGAGAAGAGAATCCCAAAAACTTCTGTGACAAGGAAGAGACCTGTCTGCACCAGGCACTGCAGTGGCTGCTCTGCTACCTACCTGATGTGACTGTCTAAGTTTGGTCACCCATGTGGCTCCTGGCTCATTCCGGTCCACTTGGCAGCCAGGCAGGTGAGATGGAGGGGACCCAGGACATAACCCCAGCTGCCTGCACTGTGCCCCAGTCCCAGGGAGCCCCTTCCTGGCCCTGCCTTTCTGCTGGGGGGAGCAGGGGCCTCTCGAGTGGGAACCCCCAGCTGTAGCCTCAGGCAGAACCTGCCCCCTTCACAGAGGTCTGCATTGCCCACCTGCAGGTCAGTAGCACCTTCAGGGAGGACCCCAGGCTGTCCCTGGAAAGAGAGACAGTGATGTCCACCTGCCTCCCATCACTCTGACCATGGCCTCCCCCACCCACCGGGAAGCTGGGATCCTCCAGCGGCCAGCACTGGGTGCTGCTGGCCCTTCATCAGGGCACCAGACAAGGACAAAACATCTGTCCTGGAGGAGGGGTGGCTGTGAGTTCTACCCTGGACTCAAGGGCCCCTCGTCTTCCAGGGAGATGGAATCAGCCCCTGCTCTGGCCCATTCAGGGACTCCAGAGCTCCCAGCCTATACTTACAGGAGGTCCCGGAGGTCCTGGGGGCCCCGGCAGGCCTGGAAGTCCGGAGGGGCCCTGGGGAAAGATAAAACTCAGAGTGCGCCAGCCCCACCCCGGCGAAGGGCCCAGCTCTGCCCAGTCCCTTCCTGCTCCCTGGACAAGGCCATGCTGGCATCGGTCTGCCGGGCGACATTAGGTCTGGGCTGCTTGAGCTTCTGCTCGTGCTCCCCAACAAAGGCAGGAGGAAAGAGGTGGGGAGGGACAAGGAGCGCCGCGGTGGTCTGAGACGACGTGGTTAGAGGAGCAGGCTCCAAGAGTGCGTCTGGGCAGCCACTCACCGGCGGACCACGGAGGCCAATCCCACCAGGGAGGCCGCTCACTCCTGCCTCTCCCTAGGGGAGGGAAAGATTGACAGGTGAGGAGCCCTACTGAGCCTGAGGAGGGTCCCCCCATGGCCAGTGTGTCCCCACTGAAGGGCAAGTCTCCAGGCGTGCTGTGCTCAGGGTGACCCCAAGAAGCCCCATCCCTGCCATGGTGTGGGGCACCCCAGCCCAGGCCGGCTCTGAGCATGGAGGCAGATCTGGGAGCTCGAGTGCTTGGGTAGGGTGCTCGGGGCGGTCTGTACTCACGGGGGGTCCAGGGAGGCCTTTGCCCTGCAAAACCAAGCAGGTGGTCAGGGTATAGGGCGACGCTTGTCCTGCCACCCCCGAGACCGTTCAGGTGGGTCCTGCAAGGGGCACCTTGGGGTCGGGTGGCTGGTCCCTGGGGACCCCCTTCCAGAGGGCACAGCCCAGATAGGAGCCCAGGTCCCCAGGGAGGCTGTAGGGGGACAGCATTTGGACTCCGGGAGGTCACACTGCTGTGGCCAAACCTGCTGGCTCCTGCAGCTGCCAGGGAGAGGGGAGGAAGGTACTCACCCCCAGCCCAGGCGGCCCCGGGGGTCCCAGACTTCCCTGAGGAAGAAAGCGGTGTCAGGGTGCTCTGGCTCAGGAGCCTTGCCTCTCTTTCCCAACTCGCCCCCACCCATGTCTGATCCCACAAGTCCTCTGAAGGCAGAGCGGGGCAGAAGCTCCATTTACAGATGACCGAGGCTCAGGCCGAGGCAGGACACACCACTGGCCACCTGAAGGGGAGTGTCTTCCTGTGAGGGCCACTGGGCCACACAGAAGGAGGGCCCAACACGGGGACTGGCCTGGGCCACACAGAAGTGACTCCGATGCCTGTCCACTCCTGGAAACCCCCAGTACCAACTCAGAGAAGCCTTCACGCTCCCTGCCCACCCTGGCCCTCTCTGAGGACGAAGGAGAGCATGTGTCCTCAGAAGCCAGGAGAAGAGAGAGCCAGCGAGTCCGTCCAGGTAGCAGTCAGTGTACAACAGTCAGACTCAGTACTTGGCAGGCAGGTGGCTGCAGGTCACCTCCAGGGTGAGGAGGGGTTAGCAGCCCTCCACACGGCTCTCCTTGCCGTGGTCTGGAGGCCAGCACCACTCTGACCAGACGTGGATGTGACAGAGGGGAAGGCAGGCTCAGGGGCTGGCCACATGACACCCTGTGCCCACCGCAGGGCAGGGGCCAGCCAGTGCAGTCAGGGCCGCCCACAACCTGGACTTCGGCTCCGTTACCTGCACATAAGACATCCCCTGCCACCCCTGCCAGGGCCTCACCTCTTCACTGTGACTGCTGGTCGCAGGGGCTGGCACCTACCCGTTCTCCAGGGGCACCTTTGGGTCCAGGAGATCCATCCCGCCCAGTCAGACCCTGGGAGGAAAGCAGGAGGAGGGAAGCAGGTGCCCAAGGACAAAACTGAGTCTTGTAGTCTTTTTTAAATCAGATGAGTCTGGAGAAGTAGAAAGGACCCTGGGGCCTGGCCCTGTTCTCTGTCCACCTGCTGCCCTCAGAGCTCCAGGGGACAGCTGGCCAGGAGGGGCAGGGAAGACTGCAACAGGGCCCCAGAGGGACAAAGCCAGCAGGACTGCAGGCTCCCTTCTCAGATCCCAGCCTACTGGACCTGCCCACAGTGACCCATGGGGCCAGCAGGGAACAGGAACCCGACAATGGTCACTTGTTCCTGGATCAGCAAAAGCTGGCAGAACTTGGACTCTGTGGTGGGCTGGTTCTGTCCCCTGCCGGACATCAGCAGGGACTGGACCAAGGCCAGGGACCCCTGCTGGGGACTTCTGTCAGGACTGGGTTGCTTGCCTGAGCAGGCCCAGCTGGAGAAGAGCAATCAGAGCTGTCCAGGGCAGGAGGGGGCTGGGACACTCACATCCACACCCGGAAGTCCTGGCAGTCCCACCTCTCCAGGCTTCCCTGGTCTCCCCGGGGTCCCTTTTGATCCCTGTGTGGGAGGAAAGGGCTGAGGTGTGAGGACAGAGGAAAAGTACTTTCAGCACAGGACTCTGTCCAGCCACCCAAAAGGGTCCCTTTCTTGGAGGCCCCATCCTTCCCTCCCTCACCAGCCCAGGAGGGCTGCCCCTCCTGACCCTTGCTCAGAGCTGTAGGATGTTCACCTGGACAACTCCGCCCCAGAGCCAGCAGGTCCCTGTGCAGGACTGCAGTGGGCACAGGCCCTGGAGCCCTGGAGCCAGACAAGCTGAGGCATCTGGCAGCTCCAGCCTGGGCAGCCTGCAGAGCTGTACTGTCCCTTCCACAGCCCCCTGGCACTGGCCCAAAAAAAGCTCCCAGCCAGACCCTACCCAGAGACACACTGAACCCACACATGCCCCTCCCAGCCCTTCTGGGGCGATGTGGGCTCAGCACGTGGCACACAGGCCATCAATGACCTTCTGTTCAGCGTGCCCCCCCCGACTAGAAATGGGCTGCCCCTCCTCACCAAGGACACTCACCGGGGGCCCAGGCAGACCCGGAGGACCAGCTTCTCCCTGCAGAAGGGCAGATGCTCCTGTGTGAACCCTGATACCCCATCTCAGAGGAGGACAGTAGGGCTGGCCTCCAACTCTGTCCTGGAGGCCTGGCCCATGGGGGCAAAATGGGGCTCCCTAGCCCCCCTTGTCCACACCCCGGGGCTCTGCCATCCACAGTCCAGACCAGGGGAAGGGGGGCTAGACAGAGGGGCTCAGGCTTTGCAGGGCCAAGACAGAATCTGACAACCCTTTGAGGGCACAGGGAGGCCCCCCAACACGCCACACAGCCTACCCGCAGTGACCCAGGGCACTGGACTGAGAGATTTAGGGAGCTGGCTTTGAAGACTGGGGCCTCTGGGCTCCTCTGCTTGAGAGGAGGGAGCCAGCCCCCCTCTCCAGGAAGGCATGCAGCAGCCCTCAGTTCCTGGGCCCCCACAGCATGGTTAAGCCCTTTAACTGGATTTCCATGCATGGGTTTAAGTGGGGACCCTGCGCCCCAGCTGCTCAGCCCCATAGGACAAACAGCAAGGCCATGGCCCAGGTCCCACAGCACTCCCATGTGCCGTACCCAGAGTGGGAAAGGGACTTAAGGAGCTGAGCAGGTTCACGGGGAAACCTCAGGCATGGGCGGCCCTGGAGGGAGTGATCACGAGGGAGGCCCACACCCAGCCACCCCTCTGGGGGGTATAGGCGGTCCCCAAAGTGAGCCCTACCTGCCCTGGACACCCGGGCGGAGTTGGCCTCTTGTCACCCCAGGGGTGCCCCACATGCCACGGAGCCCAGGCCACCCCCAGGGTATAGGACCTGGCCCAAGCACCAAGGACCACGGCCACCCACCCCTGGCAGGCTCTGCCCCAGCGGGAGCGAGGGGCGCAGGTCCTTCCCAGCCCACCATTGCACACGGCCCCTGCATCCAGAACCCCAGGACGCCCGAACTCACGTCAATTCCGTCCTTGCCCGGCTTCCCAGGTGGGCCCTGAGGGCCGGGGGGCCCGGGGAGCCCCACTTTCTGGAACGGAGACGTCGTTAGAAAGTCTGCCGCACCTGTACCTTGGCGGTCCCCAACCCGAGACCCTCCCTCCGGGATCCGTCTGGGCGGGCAGCGACCCCTTGCCGCCGGCCGGCGGTGGCCGGGAACAAAGG